TTTTCTGTGTGTAAAGTTAACTGTATTTAAGAAGTCTTAGACTGAGTTTAATAGTGACCTGGTGTTTTGTTCTAGATCTTCCAAGGGATCTGGCCTGTATGTCCACCATGATGACCTTTGAGTATTTGAGCCAACTGTGTCAGAACAAAGATCAGGTCTGCTCACTGCCAGCTGGACTCAAGGATATGAGAGGTAATAAAACTCACTGCTCTTTAGAAAGCACATGTTGTATGTGTTACTTGACACTGTACATGGTGGCCAGCAGCAGTGGACGAAGTATGGAGGAAGATCCATACTGTGGTGAAAGGGCGGCTGTGGCTCAGGAAGTAGAGTGGGTGCCTGTTAATTGGAAGATTGGCGGTTTAATCCCCGACTCCTCCAGGCTACATGTCATAGTGTAGCCTGGAGTGTGAAGATACTGAACCTTGAAAAGTCCGTGTGCTGTTTCACCAGTGTATGAATGTGTGTGAATGTGAATGAGATGGAATATTACAAAGTATTATAATCAAATGAAGTATCAAATGTAAAAGTGGTCTTTATGCCTTGTGAGCATTGTACTATTCTCTAATAATTTTGGGTATTATTACTGATGCATTAAGTGTAAACAGCGGTTAATTAAGTGTGTCGAGGTATAACTGAATTCAGCTGCTGTTTACTGCTGGGTAGATAATCTATAAGGAAACATCTATTTCATAAGGTCATATGATATGTATAAAATCTTATCGTGACATTTTTTTATTGATCGGGATCACCAGCTCATTCAGGTAACTCAGGCAAAGCTGTACTGAAGCAACACACGCAAAATAACTTGACGATTGATAAAAAATGCCATAGAAATGAGTGAACGAAAAGAAGCATTTCTGTCTTTCACTTTATTAAATCTTGAATTAAATGGGTCAGAAACAGCACCCCTGTAATACTGTAATACCATAAATTCTCAAATAAAAGCCGAATTTTTAAAAACTGATTCTCACAGAATAACTGGGACATGGCCAACGGTGACACCACAAAATCTGGCCTCTAATAAAAGCCAGGTAAAAAACTGAGGACAGAAGGAATATTGTACTATAGTAGTAATAGTTAATTAGATAAATTCAGCATAATGTACATTTCCCAGCAGTACTGAGTTTCTTTCTATAACAGAAATACTGATCTTTAATGTGAAACATCTGTGTAGGAACTGTTGAGTTTATTAACATTAGATTAACAGTAATTTAATTTAATCGGATATAACTAAGTTTTTCTGTCAAAGTACCAATATATTTGTGTTGTACTAATACATGTCCCCTGCAGCCACTAGCTCTGTCAAGTGAGCATGTTTGTAATGTAAAATCTGTGTATGTGTCTTTGTAGTCGTTAATTGATGGCTGGGTTTCCTCTTTGTGAGCAGGAGAAGCCCTTGTCCCTGAGGACAGCATTCACACAGTTCCATTCCAGTTTGACCTCATTCATCTGCTCCCAAATGCCAGCAGGTTGAGCTCTTCTTCCTCACATTCAGTACAGGTACGTGCTCATACAGTCCATCTGTGGGGGGAAAAGTTTTGCCAGGATAATTTTTGTAATACTCATTTTGGCCACAAGAGGCTGAGTGCACCACTACTCTATGGTTTCTTCCAGGGGAGCTTTATTTGTCCATGCACTCTAAACATAAGCTAAATGTGTTCGCAAGTTATGTACTTGTTTTTTTCACCTGTTTTCACAAAACTAAAGAACTATTTAGATCAGACTTAGAAAATGGATCAGCAGAATATTTTTTTCTCTTGCCTCTAAGGGCTTCTGTATATATACATCCATCATGAAATAAATCCTTTTTCTACAGCTTTTTAAAATGAAACAAAAAACAAAGCGGGCAAATCAATGGATACCAGGGCATGCTTTACATGTTGTCATGTGTGTCTGTAGCAGGGGAGTCTGAGGAGCAGGTCCACAGCTCCCCTGTCTGTCCAACGAGTTGCTGCTCAGCCTCTTCCACGGCAGCCTGGAGCACGATCCAGTGACAGAGAGATCCCGTTGGTGACGCCGACCACGTTACCTTCATGCACCACATCTTGGAACGAGAGCGAGGCGGCCATGTGGCTCCTTCTCCTTACCTGTTATTAAAGGTCAGCACATGTCTCTGCGTCTCATCTCAGCCATTATTCCTGATAATGTATGTGACTTTGTGAAAGTTTACTTCCATAAAGAGCTCCAGAGCTTTTTGACGTGGACCTTCTGGTGTCCAGTTTGATCAGAGTCACTGTTGATTCCAAGCTCAAACATGGATGTTTTGTGTTTTGTCAGAGGAGTACATAAAGCCTGCAGACAGACAGGACACTATGACGTCTTTCCACACCACAGGCAGCAGCAAAGAGGTGATGGGATCCACAGCACTTTACAGGTAGCCCATCCATAAAAAACATTATGCCATAATAGTAAGTGAGCAATACATGTTGTAATTTATATTTTTAATATATTAATTATTGTGTATATTATATTAATGTACTCATACAGCTGGGAATAACAGACTAAAGTGGAATGAAATATAGAAGAGTTGTGGTTTCCATCTACCAACAATCATATCATCAATATCATAAACATGTAATGGCAAAACTAAACACATTTACCTGAGTTTGACTTTGAGGTCAGAGTAGGTGTAATGAGTTAAAGGTTTGGGTTTGTGGTTATCATTAGATGCATTAAATGTAGTACTCTATTAACAAGTTTACAAGTACAGTAAAAACACGTGTTACCTCTCTGTCTCCGGCAGAGTTTCAGTAATGCAGACCTTGTGGATGAAGAGGCCTTGCTGGGGGAGAGCGGCTGCTCTACGCCACAGTGGAGGTGCTACGCCAAGTACATCAGCTCGCAGCAGATCCTCCTCACCTTCCTTCCTGCTTCCTTCACAGGTACACCTTGAGTTTTGGTTACGTTAATGTGGTTCTTAGGTTTTTGACCACATCTCATAATGCAAAAGACCTAAATGTGGATATGTTGTATATTTTGCAGATGTTCTGAAGTTGATGGCGTCAGGGCTGGAGACAGAGCCTCAGAGTAACGTCAGCACGCAGGAGGACGACACGCTGACCCCAGCAACAAATCTCAGGCCGACTCCCTGTCTGGCTCCACCAGTGGGCCAGAGAGGTCTGAATCCAGCCTCAGTCTGGCCAGCAAATTGCGAAGGAGCTCCAGCAGTGGACACATCGCCAGGTCCCCTTTGCTCTCAACACAGTCATGGCCAGATTGGGCCTCCTGACTCCATGATCCTGGACCAGGAGAGCTGGACAGCAGAGTGTTGGAGACAGAGTCCGGGACCCCAGGCTCAGGTCTAATGCTTTGTCCAGAGTTGTATTCAAACCAATTTGGTGTAGACCAGTCAAAATGATTTAAAGGTACAATGTGTTAGATTTGGTCAGAAGTTTAGTTTAAATTATTACAAAAATTACCAACAGATCTAGAAAAAGTAACAGTGCTCATTCTGGACTCAGTCAGCTAATAGGACCACTAAGTCAGATGCATGGCTAACTTACGGCAATTAGCAGCAGTTATGAACTGATATGCTGCCATCATTCGACAGCTGGAGAGTAGTCTAATTTCTTACACATTGTACCTTTTAAGAGCCAAAGTTAAGCAGTGCCACACTGTTAACTGTTAGCACATTACGTAGAGTACATATATTTAACAGACCGCTAGGGCTGATCAATTTGGGAAAAACTTTGACTTTTCTAACTTTTCCAGATCTGGGGGAGAAAGAGGGAGTTCAGTTCTCTGAACACAGGAGTCCAATGTCCACATTAGCTTCAGCAGGCAGGTTTCTGACAGCAGCCAATTAAAGGTTCCAGTCTACGTCTACAACTGCTCTCTGGAGCACCTGAAGGAGCAACTGGTACACCCAAACTCCAGCCGCCAACCCAGGGACATCTTTTCAGGTACTGTGAAAAACAAGGCAGGGTCCAAATATTGAAAAAAAGAAAGAAAAAGATTTTAGATTTTGATACTTTCAATACTGTGAGGAACAGTTAAGGCTCCAGTGGCTTCATGCTGACTATCAGCTTATTTCTAAAGAGCAAGTAAGAAAGTGAGATTTTCCATTATTACTTACGGTTTACTTACTATGTCATCAACATTAAAAGGACAATTCCGGTTGATTCAAACTTATTTTGTAGTTTTGGCTTTCATTCCTATTGGTAGTAATAATAATATTGTACTCACCAAGGTGTCCAAGGAAGGTTAAATCAAGCACAAGTGGACATGGTTACTTGAAGACGTTTAGCTTCTCTGTTTGACTGACTGGCATTCTCAACATTACTATGCCGATGACTCCACGTTCTATCTGTACTTCCTACCACACGACCCGACTGTTCCCGTGGCTTCACTTTTCAGACCCAGAGGCCACATCCACTTCTTGTATACAGTCTTTGCCTTCAGCTCAGTCTAACACTGAACTTCCAGTGATCTGAGCCAGTCCTTCTGTTCAGTAGCATTAGACCAGCTCCACCTCACTCTCTCCAACAGGTTTGCATGGAATCTGAGCATTGTTAAAAATGACTAGCTGATGTTTGAGCATGTTGCATCTGTCACTTGGTCATGTCGCTTCGTGCTATAAAATGTTTGAAAGATCATTTAGATCATCCGGGTAGACTATTGGTTTGATGGGTGACTCCTTTGTGTTCCTAGATTTTGGCAGTAACTTTGGTGAGTACAGTGTTATCATAAACCAATAAAAATGATTACATAAAGCAGAGCCAAGCATGTGTGACCTAACTGAGCCCGGATTTTGTCAGAAGTAAGTTGCAGTCCACTTGTTTAACATGTGTAACACATGTCTCGGTGTCTTCACACGTGAGAATAGAGCTCAAGATGCTGAATCCTGGGAGATGAATCAGCAGATGAAGTTCAGGTAGCACTGCTTGACTCTCTTCTCTCTTTCACTCTCTGCTGAGGTGCTGCACAACTTCATTGGATGCCTCTGAGAACTTGTTTTCTGTAGAGTGGAAAAGTTTTGCTTTTCAAATTCTGTAGGCTCCAAAGCCTCTTTCCCTTCCCAGGCCTGTCTGTGCTGCTTCTTCAGGCAGTATTGCTGCATACACACGCAGTGGGTGCTGTGTGGCCACACGAGCTATGAGTATACACAGTTTTGTATTTAAACGTGCTGTCATAGCTGCAACAATTACTCATCACCAGGAAGTCAGGAAATCAAGAAATAAGTTGTTTTTTTTTCCCCCAAGAATATCCCACCATACAAGAGGTAATGTCGAATAAAGGAAACATTTAGATGCAAGGATATTTGTGTCTGTGCATAAAAACATAAAGATGCAGTTACTACTTGCTCACTTGGGGCTCAGTTGTACAAGCTCAGGCACAGATTGCCTTTATCTATTTGCCTGTTATAGCTACACTTAATTCTTTTAATACTACAATATGTCACATGTGTGACTGTGTGTAATGGTCACACAATAGTAGTCATTCTGATGAACAGTACTCAGTATGACAGAGATCCTCTTCCCCCAAAAGGACAAAACATCTGTATGTTTAGTGTATGATATGCTGTTTTACAGACTTTCTTTTTTAGTTTGCTGTTGGTAATAAAAAGCAGGCAGGCATTCTGACAGTGACATCGAGCAAGTTAAATATTCCCTTCAAAATAGGAATTTCTGTTGCACTAATAATAACATGTACTGGTAGCTACCCAGATTCCAAACAGGCACAAATAAAATCTTAACAGCCCGGACTCCCAACAGGTGTTACTATGTACTGTGGGTGTGCTGTTAATGATATGGCTAAGTTTTAATGTTTTGTTCAAGTTCACTGACAGCTGCAATATCATTTTATCTGATTTCATTTTATTTGGAGAGCCACATACACTAGTGGGATCACATTTATGAAACTGTATGTGGTAATATAGAAATCATACTAAAATATAATCCATCCATCTATGCTGAAACCAAATACGCTAACTGAGCACCACAGAAAGAATCATTTACTATACTTATATTACAATACTGTATTATTGATTCCACAGAGGAAAAAAAAGTTCTGTAAATGTACTGTAACTTAGTAGGTATGTGTCAGTTTTTCTTCATTGACAGCGATATGTGTGGAGTCTGGAGTGTGCCACCAGGATAATAATATTTTTACAGTTTAATTTGATTTAGATGATGATTTAGAAGAATATCAATAAAAGATCAAGAATATTTTTAAAGGTTCAGTGTCTAATATTAGAAGTAGTAGTAGTAGTAGTCTGGTTTATTGAAGTAAGAAGATAGGGCATAAAGTATACACAACAGAGGACCATAAAAGAGGACCATATGTTGACAGTTTTCAAAGCCTTTTTGTTGTTGGATTTAGAAATTAAATTGAGTACAAGGTTACGTTTTTTTACTGCTGATTTACATTTATGTATGTGGAATTTTGCCATTAGAATTAATACATTTATTGTGAACTACGTATTTTCTTTGACTTTATTAAGCAAAATACCACATTCCCTCACATCATTGTTATATATTAATATAATATGGTCAATTATGAATCTGCTCAAATTAAGTCGAAGGAAATTTTGGTACAGGAGCAGCTGAGTTGTTGACGTTATTTACATAGAAACAGGGTGGACAACATCGTTGATGGTAGAAATTTTTGATTTGTGCAAAATCATGTATTGTGCATACATTTTGCTAACATAATTTAATGTAGTGTAATATAACATAGTTATAAGGTTAGTTGCTGTCCATGTAGAGTGGACTAATGCTAAACCCAACACATCTTTGTAGTAGTGTCCATGTTGATTCCACATTCTGACGAAGTAGAAGTACTTAATAACGGCTTCTGATGGGACCATCAGAGGATGTGTGAATTCACAGTGAGCGTTGGTTGCTATTTGCAACCCACATCACTAGATGCCACTAAAACACACTGAACTTTCACCTTACACCTGACACACTGAACCTTTGAATTTGACTTTTCGTTTGAAAGGACAAGCTTTCTTAAAGTAAATGCATCATGAGTTGAAAAGGTAAATATTATAAACGAGACAAATTCAGGCTTCTGGTTTAATTTTGATATTTTGAAAATGTAATGATTTCATTTGTCATTTAAATGCAAATTCAATGTAACAAATGATTTTATCATCTTTGTAAGATGTTATACTTACATCTATAACTAACTATTATTAAGATAAAACACAAAGGCCATAAATTTTCATCTGGCAAACTTACATCCATAAATATGTATGATACTTTTCATGGTACAGGGCTTCATGCAGAAAGTTATAAACTGAAATTAGTCTAGTTTCAAAGTTAAAGTGTGTGTACTGAAGGTTTAGACCATAAAGGGACTGCTACGCTCTGTTTATTGTACTACAGCTGGTACAGCTGTGCTTGCTGCGGCTTTGCAGGACTGTGTATGTTGCAAAAGCACCACTTCAAGGTCTTTTTTCACCTGATTCATGTTTCTCTGTCCCGTTTGTCCTGAAATGAATTTGTTAATACTGCTTCAGAATGCTGTGGAGGTTCAGCTGTCCCTCACAGGCTTGTTGGCTTCCTCCACTTTGCTTACTGTAATGGAGATCTGGGCTAAATCTGTCTAAATGATTGTGCAAAATGATATGGAATGGATTTGCCCGTCTTTTCAACTGGCATTGTATTGTTAGGGCTGTGGAAGTGGATTATAGTTCATGTGGGTTCAGTACATCCTGCATTAGTCTTTCTAACTGAACATGTTTCTGTATGTTGGCTGTGCCATCCTCTGGTAGGTCACTGTCTCTGGACCGCAGCAGTCCATCCCCTTGGACCGACCTCCTGGCTCAGCCTCAAAAACAAGGAGCTGGCCAACTACTGCAGTCTGCTGCAAGAGCATTACCACCAGAGCTACGTCAAAGGTGACCTCCCTCCACCCATTAGCTTCAGTTGTACTTTATGTTTACTGCAAATTTATGATTGTTTATTTGTATAGTACCTTTCAAAAACACAGTACAAAGTACAAAGTGCTTTACATAAGACCTAAATGGCATTAAGAAAAGATGTAAATGAAATCCAAGGCAATAAAAAAACACAAATAATGCAGCACTGAGGTCTAATAATAATAGACCGAAATTCGGCCACTGCCTGGTTTAAATGGATGTCTTTAAAGACCTTAACAAGAGTAGTCTGTTAAGTGCTGTTGGTCGAACTCTGACTGAAAGACGTCAAAATACTTGTTCAGCGCCAAGAAGTTGTTCAGTTTAGATAGGGCAGGCCTTAAATTTTCGACACAAAGGTGTCTAGATTGTTCTTTGTAAGAGTGGATTAACTGCCACTGCAGTTTTCAGGGCCTGTGGGAATGTGAGAGTAGAGTACGGAATATAATGCATTCATTTGAGGAAAAATTAACAAGAATTAACTAGATAATTGTCTCAAATTGAGATGCTTTCGTGGGAAAACAATCTGCTAGCTCTTTTGTTGGAGGGGGCCTACCCCATGCAGCTGAGAGCTTTTTTAGGTATTTATTAATTCAGAAAACAGAGCAGAACATTTTCCCATGCAAATTTATCTCATAATTCTGAGATAACAGCAGATTTTTTTCTTTCGAGTGAATACATTACACTTCTGTAGATAAAAGTTGACTATTTGAAAAAGATCTGGTAGAAAGTGTGTAGGTAGAATATCAAGGCAGGGAGGAGCATTTCAGATGTTGCACAATTTCCTCCAGATTATATGGTTGACAGAAGTCAAAGTGTGAACTACACTGACTTTAGGTCTGAATCACTGTGTTCCTCAGGAGTGTACCGCAGCCTGCAGCAGTGCTACAGCATCAGCTCGCAGGATGTCCTCATGGCCATGGACTACTGTGAAGAATCCCTGCAGGAGATCGACGTCACCACCTTTCTGCAGACCCTTTGTGGACACATCAGAGTGTTCAGGGAAGATGGCGAAGCTCGCAGATGGGAACGGAAACCAAAACCTTCAAGGAACCCTGCCACCTTTATTATAGGAGAGGTTGAGGAGGACCGAGCAGATGACAGGGCTGCCATGGTCTCCTCGTCCAGGTGAGACAATGTACTTGAAGTAAAGCCACATTTTCAACTTTATAGTTTATTACAATGATAAAGTAGTGTAAACTGGAGTATATATAACATCATATAATATATAGGGTGTGACAAATAACAGCTTAATAAACAACATGATAACGTATGTACCTGCTTACGTTCAAGTTTGCATATAAAATTGCAGTAAGGAGTAACTGCACACAGCTGCCTAAAGTTTTATTCAACATGGTGATACAACTACTTAATTTAAAACCTTTGATTAAAACCTTCATTTATGCAAATCCTTTCATTGTAGCCTCTATATTTCGTTCTGTGGGGTCATAGCCTATGGAGATTATTCTTCTTCTCTTTATTCTGATGAGATCTTTATGCACACATGGCATGAAAAACAATGTGAAGAATTGTTGTGGTAACAGTTTTTTAATACATATAAAAAATATTGGTACATTATATATGTAAATGTGCACATGACTACTCTGACTTATTCAGATTTAGAGGCCGGGATTGGTGAGGTTCTCCCGACTTTCCGAGTTGGGAATTTGACTTAAGGGGGCAAGTTCATGACTGGGAACTCGGAAATTACGACTTCCTGTACAACTAGAATGCACGATAAATATCTATATATATATATATATATATATTTGCTCACGTCTGTCCACATGGATGTCGTTGTGGTGTGATGTAAATATTAGGTGTGTGATGATACCTCAGCTCACTAGAAAGACTATTTCAACAATATTTTTAAGAAATCTTCAATTGCAAAAATATGACTCTTTTATTCGACTGAGTCGAAAAATGCAAACAGTTTCCTATGAGCTAACACAATTATTAATCTTGTGATATTTCTGGTAATAGTATTGAAATGGACGATGCCAGTGAAGCTGAATCTAGAGGAAGTCCTCTGCTCCTTCATCTCCACTGATCCTGGATGAGGCTAAGACAGCCACGATCCCAGAATTCCCTCTGACAGTGCTGCAGACACAGCCCAATTGTGAAGTGTATCCAGATCTGCACAAAATAATCCAGGTATTGTCCAAAGTCTTACAGGCGCTCTTCATTTCATATTTTAGAAGTAGAAGTATACCTTGTTATTGATTTTGATCATAGACTCTCCTCTGAGTAGTTAGTGAGCTAATAAGTGAAAACTGTCATTCAAGTTCAAACAATCATTCCACAGGATAAATTCATGGAGATCGTGTCTCAGTATTTCAAAGCGGTGCCCTCCAATCCACACTACTTCTTCTACTGCCCACCATCATCCAAGAAAGATGTAAGCTGACAAAGTTGTGTTTTGCATTTCCTATTGGTGTCTTATGTTTTGGCCAGACTCACCTTACTTTGCTTTCATCTCTTATTATCGTTCACGATAAAATGAAGTGTTAGAGATTACGTAGAGTAAAGGAAAAGATTAACATCGGCTCGGGCAAAAATAGCAATAACAGAGGAATTTGTTTCTTTTTTTTGGCTCTGACGATAGCCTGCCAAAACTTCCTGTAACTGGTCTGAAGGTTTTTGGACAAGGGTCGGCTGTTTGGGGTGGACCGTGTTCCGGGAGGTTTCACAGCTGTAATTTGTTAGGTGTAAAAGGACCCTAAGAGATAAATGAATGGTGTAAAAACTAGTCAGAATCACTCTCACATATCCACATGGGATGCTGCTTCTGAGTGGACCGAATGAACTTGCACTGTGGTTTGTCTCCTCAGGAGGACTCAGAAGATTGTGAGACAGGGAGGAGACCCAGTGAGGAGATGCTGTCAGAGGCTGAGCCAGCTACTGAAGACGGTGAGGAGAATTCAGAAATGATTAGCCTAAATTTGTTTTGGGTTTAAATGGTTTTTATCTTAGCTGGGACACCCGTCAATTGTATTGTCTAAATCTGACGCATTCACACGTCATGTTGGGGAACAGTGTCAATTATGACAGTCAGAATTATTCAGCAAAATTCTTCATAGAGCAGCTACAAACCTAAAAATAACAGAATGAACTAAATATTACATGTGTAAGATAAGTTCTGTTTGATTCCCTCCTGACCATCAGTGGCAGTAAACACAGTGGATATGTCTCCTCGCAGGTTGAGATGTCATAAAAGCAAAATCATGTGACGTAGACATCCGGCCTCTTTGATTTTCTCGCTGTTGTCTGTAATTTCCCTGCAGGTTCATCGCGCCATAGATCCTTATTTTGGTTCTTAGATTTTCTGTGTTTGGTGTTTGTCATTCTGCCTGTGACTTCATGCTCACTGTGCAATTTGCTGCCCTCTAAGGCACAGTAGAGTGTAGTTGGGCAGATTTTGGGTCAATCACAGGGTGTGAAAGAATTTAGAAGTACTATGACACAGGTAATGATAGGGTCAGTTGCTGAGATAAAGTAAGCCAAAGGGGACAGCCAGCTCACACACTCTCTCTTTTCTGCCTGGTTGTTGACAGTGATGCACAGCTATACATTTGTTAGGCGACCTAAGGTGGAGAATATGTTTATTTTGTTTCATTACAGACAGACAGACTGGCTCTATGTTGAATTTGGATTGAATGACACACAATGTGTCAGCAGGTCTCACCCTGCTGTTTGGTTCCACACTAGATGCAGCACTGAATAGCACTTTAATACATTAAATTGCACTTAAATGCATAGAATAGCACTTTACTGCCTAAATAGCACTTAACATCTTGCTCTTTATAACGGATTTACTTTAGTAACTAGCTCATGATCTGCATAGTGAAGTATAATCACTGTCTTGTATATTGTGGTGGGTTGTATTATTCCTTCTATTGTTTTATTATGTCGTCCTTTTTTGTATTGACTTTTGTAATGACCTGCCAGGGACTACAGATGAAATTGAGCCTATTGGCTAAATCTGGCATATTTATATTGATGCAGAGCTGAAATGTTAATTAATGTGCACTGTCTCTTTTGAATAAATAAAGGAAAAATATCCAGTAGAACAGGGGTATTCAATTAGAATTCAAAGAGGTCCAGTTAGAGAAAATTTCCTGAAGCAAAGGTCCAGAACATCAAAACGACTAACTTGCGTTATCATTCAGTACCATATATAGTTGTATCAACATATGTTTTTAGTCAACAACGTACTGTCAAATCAAATAATATAATATAGTTTTCACATCAAACTGGAGGGATAATAAATAATAACTACTCTAATAATAAATTCTAAATTTAAGTAAAATAAAGTGCCAAATTTTTTAGAAAACAATTAAATAAAAAGTGTAGCTTGATGTCTATTCTTAACCAATTCTATAATAAACACTCAACATATAACAAATGAACAGCTGTAATGCCTCCTCTTCTTTCATTGCCTCTTATAGAGCTGCCGTGAGCTCTAGTTTGTCCTGCCAGCTAGGATTGGAGATCTGAGATATTCTGGTTTTGAACTGCCTGTGGGAGGAATGTTCATGTAAGAATCTGTACATTCTTGATTAAAAGCCAGGTGAAATCTCTTTCCTTTCGTCTCCTCAATTCATGTGTGTTTCCAAAACGTCTCTGGTGAATCTCGCGGACTTGACTCGCGTCGGAATGCACAGATTTCATTGGCTGAGGAGCGTCACATGAGACGATTGGAGCACATGCGATTGGTGTATAAAAGTGTGAACAATAACCTTATTTGGACACTTAGTGAATCTCTGTAGGTCTAGGAAGCAGAAATATTCCCTGACAGGAAGTATCCTTCAGATTTGGTGTTGGCATTCCATGTGTTTAATCAGCGGATGCTGGCACTGTATCTCCTCAGACGGGCTCAGTAAATGATGCTGTGCAAGTCTTCATCACTTTCTGAAACTTCTTCATCACACCTGAACCTGGCCCACTTTATTTTCATAACATGGGGATGTCCCAGATCCGAGGCTAGTTGGAACAGATTATCTGCCCAGATGATCCTGTTGTGTGAGGGCTTTACAGACATTATTTTAAGGTCACCAGCTGGATCAGAGGCACCTCGATTTCACACCCCTGGGGCTGCTGCATCTACGCGCTCTGCAGAGGTGGTACAACAGAATTCACATGGACCTTCCTTAACACAATGGATTTTGCATATATAATGCTGATTATTATTTTTACAAATACAGAAGTGGGGGTTGTAATACTCTAAAAGATGGAGATCTCGGCTTTAAACAAGGGTTATGTTAGTTATCTGGCCAACTTGCTAGTAGTGCTTTGTGAAATCCTCCTCAGTTAATGTGATGTTCCGTGGCTGAGATACACTACATGATGCTTCTCACCCTGTGATTAGATGCTGACCAGTTTATTGTTTTGTGTGTAGAAAACATGTCGGGCTGCTGCATCATGACAGAGAGCGACACAGATTTGGTGGTAGAGTACGAGGAGCATCCGGGCACCAGCTCCCACAGAGAGGGCGAAGACCAGTCCCTGTCAGACTCCAACACTGTCAACCAGGACCAGGACTCCTTCAGCATCCTGGAGGGAGACTCCCTGTTGGAGCCCGAGGGGCCACAGCTGGACATGCCGCCGCTGTTCGTTCATGTCACTTGTTCCGTCAATATGAAAAGCTGTCACGGCTCCATGCCCATACAAACACTGCCTACCTGCCTCGGTGATTGTTTCTTTGATCCTCAGAATAGGGACACACAATGTTAACACACCACTCTGATTACGAGAAGTCTGTTTAGGATCTCTCTTTCTCACATTAAAGAAACCTTCATTTTTGTCCAATATTCACAAGGTAGTTCACATTTTGACAGCCGTCTTTCTTTTGTCAAAACAACTGGTTTAAAAAGTTTAACTTTGACCACTGAGACTCTTTTGTTGTGGTGCTTATTTCAGTTTTGTGATTGCAGGTGAGATTATTTCCTGCCTGGAGAACGCTGAGGCCTTACAGTCTGTGGATTTGGATGAGCTCTCAGTCACATTAGATATCTTTGTCCTGACGCTACCTGTGGAGATTGAAGTCATGGCGGATTTCCATCACGACAGGTGAGTAGAAGTGTGAACAAAAAGCCACAATTCGGCGGGTTGGCAAGAAAAGAGAATTATCTTTTTTTTTTTTTTTTTTTATGTGATATTTGTGATTCCATTTTTTAAAATCTTTATTCTAAATGCCCTGATCACACTGCAGTATTAAAGGTACTCTGTGGAGTTCACTGAGCCCTGACAGCCAAATTGAATGCATTTCCTTTCTGATGAAACATTGGCAAAAGAGGATTTTTGTTTTAAATATTGGTTTGCTGCCAGGTTTAGTTTTGTTAGCAGGATATTCTGTCTTGCAGTTGTTAGGACATTGCAGCTTTTCTTGGTGTATTAAAGCAGCTAGCTGTCTGTCAGTGGAAAAGTGTGTAATAGAGCTAAAATTATTAATTGATTGTTGACCGAAAATTTATTATATAAATTTATAATTTATAGTCTTGCTCTGCTACCAGCTTCTCCAGTGTGACGATTTGTTGCTTTCCTCTAAACTGAATATTTTTGGGGTTTTATTGGTTGGACAAAACAAGCAGTCTGAAGATGTCATCTTGAGCTCTTAGATCTCGCTCCATCCATCCATCCATCGTCAACCACTTATCCTGCGTACAGGGTCGCGGGGGACTGGAGCCAATCCCAGCTGACATCGGGCGAAAGGCGGGGTACACCCTGGACAAGTCGCCAGTCCATCGCAGTGTCTTTGGGATCTTTCCATTTTATTTATGAAATGATGAATCGATTGATGGAGAAAATAATTCTGTGTAAACAACAGTGTGACTGTAGTCTGGCTTTTTAAAGCTGGCCTATTTTAGTGGGTAGAGAAAGCGCAACAGCTGCTCTCGTTCAGATGAAGCAAGTATTTCCTACCTGATACAGTGTTATGGAAGCTAAATTGGATGTGTGGTTTGTGACATTTGCAACACAAAAGAATTAGTATTTCACAGTGGCATTGAAATAGGAATTTAAAGTGGGAAATCAGTTACAAGAATGAAACGTCATTCTACATTAGTGAATCCATCCATCCATCCATCCATCCATTCATCGTCATCCTGTGTACAGGGTCGCGGGGGGGGCTGGAGCCAATCCCAGCAGACATTGGGCGCAAGGCGGGGTACACCCTGGACAGGTCGCCAGTCCATCGCAGGGCCACACATAGTCGAACAACCACTCAAGCTCACACTCACACCTAATCTCCCTTTCAGGAAGTAGTAATCTGGAATGAGTTCCTTAACGCCAAATTTCTGGTTATCTGAGGTGTGTAGGCAGTGAGGATGTAAAAAAACTTACCAGTCTGGGAGGCGGGAAGAAAATGAAGACAAAAGTTTTGTTAAGGTGTCCACCCAAAGAGAAAACACAAAAAGTGTTAAAAAGTCTCACAAGACCCTATCATAATGCTAAACTGAGCTCTTGCTGTTCTTTAAGGCAATAGGAAAATTCCCCTTTAAATCAGGGTATACCAATCTGCCCTACACAGAGAGCTGTAAGCTAAGGTTTTTCAGTAAGAAGAGACCTTGAACTCTCGGGCCCACATCTTTTATAAAGAATAGGCAAGAAGGAGTCTTCATCCCTCCTCAAACGTCTATTGGCTTGTAGGGTTTGACCATAAGCTTGATTGGCCCTTATTTTCTCACCACATAGGCTATAAGTTAAGGCAAGACAATTGAGAATCTTTAATATTCTCAAAACCTCTTTTCTCTATCACACCTCTTCCTCGCTCGCCTTCATGTAAATGTCATATATACATGTGACTTCAGAGGCGCCTTTTCTGTTTACCTTGTGATCTTTAGTCTCAGAGTGTGGACCTCAGCTTCCTTTTACTGAAACAGGTGTCCTATTTTGAGACATCTGCTAACTCTGAACATGTCTGAAGGTCTGAAAATATATCTGTGTTTCAGGGACATGCCCAGACAGAGCTCTTCAAAGGCGGAGAAAGGTCATTTACAAGAAATACAAAGATATGGGGCTTATTAAAGAAAAAGAAAAACAATATTAAAAATAAAACATCTTTCCTACTTAAAGTTGTACTTTCGTAGTATGAGCTAAACGTTCAATGATTTTCATTCTTAAGGCAAAGCATTTTACTATATGGCCTGTATATACGCCGTCAGGCAGTCAGGCTGTTCTAAAAGGCCCCTGATAGTCAGAACCAGTGTCCTTTTCTTCACACTTACGTCCCGCTCTCACTTCACCAGGCTGGACTGTTAATAATAATATTGTTAATAACAATAATGGCTTGCACTATTCTTAGCAATGTGACAGATACAGGCTGTCTGGGAAACACAGTTAATCAAATAAAAAGCCTGTAAAATAAAAAACAATTTGTGGCGTATAAATTCAACAACACTGCTGCTCATTGACTTGTAGGTTAAGCTAATAGCCTGCTGATTACCACATGAGCTTCTAAACACTGCGCTATTGACAATTAATATTATAGCATGATGCCAGGTATGATTTATGTCACCGACACACACTGTTGTAACAAAGATTACTGATAATAAAGATTACAGAACGGACCAGCCGAGTGAGAGAACCAACTATTCATATGGTAAAGTCTGTAACTGAAAGAGTTGTGTGTATTTGCACATATTCTAAGAGGCAGAACAAGAGTGACGTACTGTGACGTTGATCATCCTCCAGCAGGGAGTTTTAGACAGTCTGATTAATTGTGTGTTGTGCATGAGATACAAAAACTCAACAGGTTACCATTAAGTTGAACTCATTTTGAAATCAATATTCTTTTACTTGGGCACCATCTAGTGGTAGGATCAACAAAAAATGCACATTATCAGAATGACTGGCATGTAGCAACTGTATTAACTTTTGAAAAGCTATAAGACGTAAAATAGGAAAAGAAGTTAAGCCATGCACAACGTGTCACCAGGAACATTGTAAATGTGAATGATGAAACCATGGTGTGGCACGTCTGATTTAAAGGTCTTTACAGGCCCAAAAATATGCCCAAACCCGAAAAGACCCAGAAATGTACCACCTGGACCCGAACCTAGTATTTGAAAGCTGGGACACAGGCCCATGCAGAACCATGAAATGACCAACCCCAACCCGGCCTGTGGACGCAGACCCGATCGGCACAGATTTCACTGCTGATTGCAATGAAGTAGTTTGTGTTAATTTACATGTTGTCAAAACAACTTACAAAGTGTTACGTGAGTGGCCCTCCCCTCTGTACTTGGCCGTGACGCATATAATCCATCCTCATGCCAAGAAACTTGGTTAAATACATTCAGGTGTTATTCCTCTCTTGCTGACTGAAACAGCCTGGCTAATCCTCTCCTTATTTCGGACCCGCGGTATTAAAATGGAACCCGACTTGATCCAACTGACTGTGAAAATATGTACCTGAACACGTACGGGTCCTGTGTTGGGTTTCTGGTCTTAGGGTTCAGATGGACCTTTGAAGACCTTCAGTCTGATCTCCTCTTTGTGTGCAGGTACACCTCAGAAAGCAGCGTGTCTCTGAATCGTTCACCAGGACAGCCCTCCTCCTATCGCTCTGATGAGGAGCTGATGGCAGTGTTGGACAGCCTGAGGGGAGCCGGTGCTGATGGGTGTGTTTGCTCAACAGGACAATACTGAGCTGGACTTTCTCTGATTAACAGATTCTCTCAATCAACAGGGGTTTCTGTTTTTCTGATATCTATCTTGTCTTCCATTAGGGTCTCTGGTGATCCCTTTTCCAAACTTCCAGTTCCTCACAAGTTAGCAATTCTGGCCACAATGGACGAGGTGAGTTTTATTCTTCGAAATGTGAGCTATCAAGCAGCAACACAACAAAATGAACACAAACAAATAATAAACACAACCTCTGGAAGAGAGTATCTTCACTTATTACCCAAAAATGCAGTACATCCCAAGCCAGTCTGGGTATTCTCACAGTACACCTTCAGATAAAAAATACATCATGTTGAAGTTTTCCCCAGGTAAATTTGTTGAAATCATCGATGTATGTTGCTTTTGGAACAGGATAAAAAGTTTAGAAAATGAAGTAACTTTTTTATAACTTTATCTGTCTTTTGTGGTACTAATAAATAACAATAAAGCCGTAATGGGCTGATACGTTTCTGCGTTGAAAGAAACTGGATTGAACCAAGTCAGATATGACACAGGCATACCTGTCAACATTGGGATTTGAAAATAAGGGAACCCCCAACACCTACTAAAATAACAGAGAAGTACACATCATGAGGAAAGGTAGCGAAAGGAAATTATGTGAGGCTGAACTTTCACGTTCCAGCTGAGCTGTTACATCAGCACTTCACTGAGGAGAGAGGAAAACTAATCACAGCCGGCTTAGAGGCTGTTCAGAAAGTTATTATACAGTCTGTAGTGGAGCCTGAAAGATATGGGATTTTTAAGACCAATACCGATTTAGATATTTGAGGATTTTTAAAATCCGATATTCCGATAGGTCGGCCGTTTTTTCTTTTTATCCCTAACATTTATTATGTGTAGTATATACTCATATCAGCCAATAACATCAGCACGCAGATTTATTGGTCCGATTCTAGTCTATAATTAGAGCATTTTTGGACCCATGCGAACAAGACGTGGATTGGTGTTTAGTTGTTTGAGCTGGATGGACAGAGCGTTCTTATCTTAATGTCTTATCTTAATGTGGACACACTGGAAACATATTGAGGCGAAAATGTAATCAAGTTGAACTCAAAGATAGAATCTAGATATGGGACCTGCATTTTAACGGCAGGTGTAAAGGGGGTCTTATTGATATTAGAAGGGGTATATTTATTCTGCACTGAAAACTGTGACGTCCAGATTTACAGGACACACACAACAGTGATGAACTTTTCTTGGTTTTGGTGCGTGTGTGTGTTTCAGATCCGCTGGCTGCTGGAGGATGAGATTGTTTCTGCTCTGCGTCACTCCCGGCGCATCAGCTCAGCAATGCTGCACAAAGTAGCAGAGCATGTGGTGCGATCGAGCGGGAGACCACACTGTCACTGTAAAGATGTGCCACTGCAGTTTGTCTTTGGGCCTGAGCAGTCTCTGGAAAAATTCAAAGAGGCAAGGACGCTCTCACACACATATACAGCACATACACAGCAGGGCTGCGTGATATATTGTTTCAGCATCGACATTGCACACAACTTGCTGTATCCAGATCTGTCTGTACTGAATCTTGCCAGAATATACATAATGCCTTCCAGTGCTGGGGTTTTGGGCTCATGGTTTGGTATGTTCCATACAGCAGGAAATACAATTTTTGTCATTGTTGCTGGATTGTCTGGTGCAGCAATGATGATGCAGTGAATAGTGAATATTCTCTCTGACCAATCAGCAGTCTGTCGCGTTTTCACGTTACATTTTAGTATAGTTGCACCTGTACCTGGAAGCGGGTACACTTGCAACATTTCTACAATGGAAACCCAAACAAAGGCGAGCTTGGTTTGAGGGCGTAGTGCATAGTGATCTCTGATCGGATGACGTCTGGTCCTGCAGGAGTTCCGCAGAATGTCGTTCTCTGGCTACGTGTTGAACGGAGAACAGGACAGCTTCTACTACTTGTCCCTCAGCAGACTGCACCCTCAGAGGATACATGCTGCCAAGAGGCTGTCTGAGAGCACTGCTGACCCCCCACAACACAGCAACCCCTTCAGTGCTGGAGCACAGGTGAAGGCGATGCTAGAGAGGGAAGCAGGGACTCAGGCAGCAGAGGCAGACAGCGAGGTCAGACCTGTCATTTCACACTGATTTGATTCAGCACAGATTCTTATTAAAAACGTCTACACATTTATTTAGTGACCTTAAATAAAGCAATGACACTCATTGTTCCTGGAACTCTGTCCTCCTGCAGAGTGAAGACAAGACGTCCATCAGTGTTTCTGCTGACGCTTCCTGTGACACAACTGCAGAAGCCAGCGAGCCAATCGGAGCCTTGAAGCCTGAGGCACATGACGCTGTCTCTCAGTCCTCAATTAGCATGGTGGGGGACAGAGGTCATCCCAGCACCTCCCAGCTACAGACTGAACGCTGCCCAGAGCCCACCTCACCCCCCAAGACACCATCCAGTGTCAGCCTGGCTGAGTCCATGCAGTCAGCGTCTCACAGTGAGTCCAACTAACACTGCACACTGTGCACTTTAGCATGCATCACAGTGGTCCTGGTCATCCTGCCTCAGTGTAAAGTAAGTGTTTTATTATCAGCGTGGCAGCTGTGTAACATGTTTCACAGCCCCATGTTTATTAGTCGTTGGACTGATTATTACAAAGGATTATTGGGTCGTTTTGCCGCTCTGGACAATCGCAGGTGTGTTCCTGATCTGGGGTTGGTCAGAACAGATTATCTGCCCAAATGAACCTGTAGTGTGAGGGGTTTACAGGGTTTTTCCTGGCTCAGAATGGGCCTTTGGGGGGTGACTTTGTGCGACTTTGTAAGAATGATGAGTATGCGTTCAGTAAAGGCAATGACTTACCTAATGACCTAAATCTATGCATTTTCTTGTTATTTCTGACCATGTGATAAACAAAATATATATTATATAACATTAAATAGAAAGTATAATGTTAGTATAATAATATATTTATAGGTTACACTTTATTTGGATAATCTGCCTACAGATAGTTTATTAGTAGAGATTTAGCTGTTTCACAAATAAAACCATTTTCTGATATTAGCCTACACCACTCTGGTTAAGGTTTGATTAGTGCTAATGTTTGTGTATTCATTATAATTTCAGATAATAGTACAGCTTACCATTAGTAGCCTAATATTAATTCCAATTGGACAAAACAGCAGTTTCTGTGGGTTGTTTTCAGTCACTAAATTATTGTGCATGGAAAAATGCTCTAGTAAGTAATTAAGTAAGTAAAGTTTATTTGTATAGCACATTTCACAGATAAAAATCACAAAGTGCTTCACAATAAAATGTAATACAACAAAGTGAAATATAGAGCATAAGAAAATTTAAATACAAATGGAAAACATAGAACAAAAACCATAAAAACTCCGCGTCTAACTAAAGGTCTGCATGAATAGCAGTGTCTTCAGTTGTTTTTTTAAAAGAATCAACAGATTTCACACAGCGTAGAAAGGTAGGCAAACTAGAAACTTTCAGTAATGCAGTTTCTGTGGAATGCTTTTTACCGAAACCAGACTGGAATTTGTCAAACAGCTCGTGGTTCTCTAGGAAAAGGGTGAGTTGCTCTGCTACAACTTTTTCTAGAATTTTTGACATGAATGGAAGTTTGGATATTGGCCTGTAGCTCTTAGGTTGTAATGGATCCAAGCTGGGCTTTTTAAGTACAGGCTTAACAACAGCATGTTTAAAAAAACAAGGAACGACACCAGTTAAAAGTGAAGTATTAATCATCTCCACAATACAGGGGCCAATAGAATCAAACGCTTGGACAAATTGCACAGTAGGGAGAACATCCATTGAAACCCTCATCATGTCCTAACATGATGAGGGTTTCAATGGATGTAGCAGAGAGGTGATGTCCTGTAATGTCACAGGTTTAAAATACGACCAAGAATGAGCAGAAGACAGGTCACATGAGTAAGTGATGGTGAGATGTTTGCCCTAACATCTCTGATCTTACTTACAAAGAAGTGAAGGAATTCATTACAGTCTGATTTAGAGGACACAGTTGCTTGAGGGGCAGAAGGAGAAACAATTGCATTTATAGTGTCAAACAAGATTTTAGGATTTTGCTTATTCGAGGATATAAGCTGAGAAAAGAAGTGAGTTCTCGCATTTCTCAGCATCTTGTTTAACGTAACCCTTAGTTCTCTCAGATGAAGCCTATGAACCTCAAGTTTAGAAGATTTCCATAGACGTTCACCTTTTCTACAATTTCTCCTAAAACTCTGGATAGTTTCATCAACCCAAGGACAAGGTTTTTTATGGGAGACAATGTTTGTTTTCACTGGTATTATCTAAAATTGCTGAACACTGATTATTAAAAGACTGGATAAAAACATCTGCATCACTGCATCCCATCAGTGAACATGGGTCAAACAAGGCAGAGAACCTCTTCGCAGCATCGTGATTAATAATCCGCCTCTGAGCAGTAAAATGTGTTAAAAACACCTACTTTGAGCATCTGTGATTCAAAAGAGGAGAAAGTTTTTAGCTCTACATAAGAATCTGTCACGATGCACAACAGCAAGCCCACCTCCGCGGCGTGCCATGCCCAGTAACAGAGCAGCCGACAGGACAGAGCTCATTTAAGTGAAAAAACTCATGCAAAACTCACATGGTGCTCAGTCTCTCATTTGTTTATGCAAATTAACTGTGAAAAAAATGTGAATACAGAACGACGAGTTACACATTTCTAAAGTTTGCTGTAGTGCCTCAACCTTTTTTTAATGTCCCGCCTCCTCCAGGCTGTGATTGGTTGGTTAACGAAAAGTGACTTTGACGCGCCACTATACACACGGGTGCATGAAAGGCTCCTGATCTCCCTGCGGAGATTAGCAGGCAGGAGAGAACGGGAACAGGTGAGCGTCATGTAGTGCCTAGAAAACCTGATGTGGAGAGGGCAGAGGAGAGGACCGGTGCCAGTACGCCAAAGAGTAAAATGTTAAAGTGACAGTACTGGTGAATACCGACACACTTGAAGCACAAACGGCTTTTTTATTGTGTGAAATAACAGGAAGTCATTTGCAATGAAATCGGAGTGCCTCTGATGAAACCCATAACAGACAATAAGAGCGAGCTGACCGGGCAACATCACTTAAATGTATAAACCATGCTGGTACCTTCTTCTCTCTTTTTAGTTTTATTCTTATTTTAAGTTTTTGAGTGTGAATGTTAGTTTCTGTTTGGTGAATGTGATGTAGTGTAAAAGCGCTTTGAGTGGTCGAAAAGACGCGCTATACAAATGCGGAGCATTTACGTTTACATTTACTAGTTACTACAATCTCTCGGTACCAGGTTCCTGGCAGCCAGCGGGCAGCTTCCTGTCAGACATTCACGTTCTTGATTCTATCAGGAATTCAGAAATTCATTCCTTCATGTAGCCTACTGATGAAAGTGCAACAGTAAATCTACCCACTGCTAGTACCGCATTGTAGGTAGAGCTGCACGATATGGAAGGAAAAATAATTTTGCAATTATTTTGACTACAATTAATATGATTCACGATTAGTGGGAATGATCATTTTGGCATCACAATTTTAATTTTCACTGAAAAAACTATTAAAATCTGGATGATGTGACAGTCGGCTTTCACTGATATAGGCTCTGATTTGTGACTCTGCTGACATTGGATTGTCTCTCCTCAGGCTGTGGCAAACTCAGGCCGAGTCGAGTCCAGAGTGTCGTCTCCAGCCAGGGCAGTCTGGACTCAGACATGCAGGGTAAGTGGTTGGCTGACCAGCATGGTCTGCGTATGAGAGGTTTGAAGAAGTGAAGAAAGAGGTGGTTGTGACAAGTTTGCAGTCCTTCAGGTCATAGCTCACTGCTTCTTAGTTTTACACCAAAATACAGACCTACAGTATGTATATATTCAGCATATACTGTATATCCCACTGTATTCCTGCTTGTATTCTTTGCAATTCAATCTCTGCAATTATCCAGTTAACAAGGCAATATTTTTATATTGTTCTAGTCTAACGCTACACACTGTAGCATGTCTACTTATGTTTTTAATAAATTTATGAGAATTAATACAAAATTATGAATTTTAATATTCAGAGAATATTCATTCATAAAGCTCTCGTTTTGCGGGTCACCACCGGAGATTTAATTCACCCAGAGTCTCCGTGTCTCTGCGCAGCGTTTTAATAATTATACAATTATTCACTAGTGATCAGTTTGTTAATAATTGCACCATTATCTTAAATTAATCAGTCAGTCTCATGTCGAAGGGGTAAATTCTCGTGGCAGGGACTTGGAGGTAGGCAATACATACACACAATTCCTTTGATTACGGTGAAATTTATTAACTAACTAAGGGTGAAATAAATGTGGTTAAATACACATCAAAGAAATAAACAATGGCTAACAAACATGAGGCAAACAAGAATGTGGAGTTTTATTTAAACAGGGTTCTCTTGTGGGGAGAATTTGATTCAAACGTGCAGCTAATGAACGCAAGCTATGAGTTAAAGATAATCTATTAACAAACTATTGGACATCACTGATGCCTTGGTTTGGTCTTACTGCTTGTCGTTTCTCCGAGCCGAGTTGCTGGTTGGTGGCCTCACGCAGGCGGAGTTCTGTGCGTTCTTGGTTAGGACAGCTTAAAGCCATCGGCCAGTCGCTTTCTCTGCCAGGGAATTGCTCCGGAGGTCCGTCTTTTGTCTGCTTATTGAAGTGGTCAAACTTCTTAGGGCGTTGCCAGGAGAGGGACCACGCTGGGCGCGTGCCGAAGCACAGTTGAAGATGCCAAGAGAAGAGAGAGCGCAAGACAGCATGTGTCGCTGCTTTTGCTTGTTGGGGCGTGGTTCCCAGAGGGCAGTCCTTTGTTCTCCTGAGGGCTTGTTTCCGGTTTCCTGAGAAATTGTCTTTTCTTCAAACTTTTAATATGTCTATCCAAAATCTATTTGCGTGTATTGAAATCAAATATTTTTCCACAATCAAACCTTAATTGTCAAACGGGTATACCTTTCTTAGTTTTAAGCATTTGATAAAAAGGAAAACAACTGTCAGTAGTTCAGTCTTAAGGTTAGCATTTCATAGGAATCACATCAGATGAGAGGAACTTAACTAGCTTTCTGGATAATATTGGCTGTTACACGTTCTTACTTGGGGAATATAAGCAAGATACACGAATGGCATCAGATTATGAACAGGTAAATACAGAGTGACATTTATACATTAAAACAGCATTTCAGAATGATTGCATGCAATACTTATTTTGTCTACTCGGGGGAGCTCGGGTTACATGAGGATAGCTTTGATTAATCCTAAAACAACCCTTTGCTCAGGATCTGGGGAATTTAGTTATTTAACATTAACTTCGAGCTAGAAAATTACTCGAGTAGTATAGGATGACATTTCTTTATCATATCCTTTCTAAAGGAGGTGTAATAAAGTGTTGGGAACAAAGCATTGGTTACAACCTAAAATGAGGCAATGTCAGGTGACCTTGCTGAAAATTAAAACACTGCCAAATTAACTTATTTAGATTCTTATCAACAACAACATGGTAACATAACTACTCAAATGGAGTGGAGAGAACTAGTTAAGTAACTTAAAGATTATTAAATTAAATAAGGTAAGGCTTTGAGTTTTGAGAATACAGTACTCTTTGTTTACACAAAGAGTTCAGGGCTGTCCTCTGGTGTCCTGGAGTGTCTCACCAATTCACATCTGGGTGTGAAGAGGAGAATATCCTTTGATGTGAAGTAATTAAACAAAGAGGGAGGTCAGTTGCCATGGTTACGTGTGTGGAGGGCAGTTTAGGGTTTCCTGCCCTCTCTTAAAAAGAGTTTTGATAGGCTGTTTGTAATCTCTGGTTAGTGTTTCTTTGTCATTTTAACAGTCAGGCACCGAGTGTTATCTGTCTGCGGCACCAGGGGTGGCAAGTTTTATGATCGAACTGCCAAGAAACAGCACTTAGGGAAAGCAAATCTTTCACCTCCTCCTTGGAGTCACTTCAGCTGTCTGTTGAGGGTTGATATCTCAAACCCCCTCCTTTTCTTTCTCCCAGGGAGAGAGAAAGAATTTGGAGTAGTCCGAATTTATTTGATATAAAATGCACAAATCCAAACTGTTTGTTCACAACACCACCATATGTGTATTACTACAATGTGTGCAATTATCCATCATGGTCATGATCTTTGTAAGTGAAAGTTACTGTAACAGTACTATTTACAAATGTGAATGGAGATTTGTGTAACTGTATCTACTGATGGGAGAATCAGATTGAGAAACAGTGACACAACTCTCACATTTGTAAATAGTTCTGCTACGATAAAGGCCCCATATGAAATCTCCCAAAACATAATAGTATTGTGATTTGTTGACATGTTTTTTTTCTAGTCACTCTGCCTGATCTTTTAAAACACCTTCTGTCCTCTGATCGCTGCAGTCACACAGTGCTTCTACATTTGTGATCCTCGTGTTGAATTGCCTGTAATGTTTTAAAAAATAAAACTTTGTGAAGTATGTGAAGTGAAATAACTGGAAATATTGTTTGATAGTATAGAAATCAAAACACTCAGGAGAGGATTGTGTAAGAAAAATGATCAAATACAGTATATATGTAATCCTCCTCCTGATGTCCTAAACTGAAGGTTCAAATATTACAACACAAATGAATTTAGCTAACATTAATTAACATACACACTGTTAAAGTCAGGCAAGTAGATAATTGCTCTATATATGACCTAAATAATGAAGGAAATGTTAATGATCATAATGTTTATTTGCCTCTGTGTGTTTGCAGGTTATGATGGTGGCAGCAGTGACTCTGAGTGCGAGAGCCCCACCCTGGATGAACAGGAGTGTCAGTCACCTCTGATGCCTGACTTCTGGCTAATTGTTAAGATCCACCAGGACAGAGTAAAGGTCTACTCCCACTCCAGGTCAGACTCAGAAATACTGCTCAGTTTATTAAACATTTAATAATCAGCTGTCTGTGGCCCATATTTATCAAGTATTGCGGAGCAGGACATCTAGAATACACATGTTTGCTTGTTCTTTTAGGCTTAGAAGTAAAATAATTGTACAGGTCTCCTGGAAGGAGACCCTGTATTCAGCAACTATGATAAAATATGAGACCTCATAATTAATTTCTGTTTTGCAAAATGGGGATGTCACTTTTAAAGGAAGATGTCTTGTCCTTGCTGAGAGTGTATATATGAAGCGTCATTAAAACTAGTGAGAGTAAAAAGTAAAAAGTCCCAGTCACACTTTCAGCAGCATTGCTAGGATGGATTCTCAGATTCTCCATCCATTTGTCATATTATTACAGGTGCTTCACAGAAGAAAAAGAGGCCAGTGCTGAGGAGCTGGAGAAGAAGGAAGATCAGGAGCTGCCTGAATATTTACATCTGCATCAAATGGTGGTCAGGAAGATAGGTGAAATCTGCAGAATAGTCAATCAGGTAGCTACTGCAGTACTCTGACAACATCACATCTTTTTGGTAAAACAATACTAAAGGAGCATAAGGACAGAAAATATAAATATCTGAGTGTCTTCACAGAGAGTGCAAACGCATTGTTCCAAACATGATTAGATGTAAATGCATCTATATAGCAATTAAGACACATAGATCCACACAGTCCTGTTTATAGCATGTGTGAAATGCGTCCTTTGCCTGCTGCCCAGTGTCGACTGTATGTGTGTGCATTTGTAGCGTATGCTGCTGCAAGACCTTCACGACAGCCATGTGTGTAACTCTCTGCTGGTGGCCGAGAGTGAAGAAGACATCTGGAAGAACGAGTCTCTCTACAGGCAGAGGCTCAACACCTCCGATGGTACGTCAGACGGTTTGTTTTGATTTGTTCACGTTTTGTGATTTCTGTTTCTGAGATCACTGTACAGGGTAGTGGGGGTGAAAGGATTTATTTTAGTAATTAGGGTGAACAGACCCTTTGATTTCTTCTCTGATGTCACACTTAAATAAAATAATATATTTTTACCTGACCACACAGATTACAACACAGAGGATAGCTACCAGGCCATTAACTACCTGGCGGCCACCATGCAGTTCATCCCTGGACATTTTGCCTGTGATGTGGTGTGGAGCACAATCATCCACATTCACCCACGCCTTAAGATGGGCCCCAACATGGGGGTATCCAGGGGTGAGTGGTCTAAACACTTTCACCATCCATCCGTCCCGCTTATCCTGCGTTTAGGGTCGGGGGGGGGGGGGGCTGGAGCCAATCCCAGCAGACATCGGGCGAAAGGTGGGGTACACCCTGGACAGATCGCCAGTCCATCGCATGGCCACACATAGACAAACAACCAATTAAGCCTGCATGTCTTTGGATGGTGGGAGGAAGCCGGAGCACCCGGAGAGAACCCACGCAGACACGGGGAGAACATGCAAACTCCACATGGAAGGGCCAGGGCTCTAAACACTTTATTTTATATAAAAACCATGTTCCTGTATATGGGTTGACACCCACAAAGGCGCATCACATACGTGAAATGCATTAGTTGCTGGAAAATCAGATCAGTTTATTTACTGCTTAAAGGGGCTATATGTAGTTTTTCAATGAAATCGCTTATTAATAAATCAAATATTTACTGCCTTTTTGTCAATGGGCTCTAATTAAATGAAGCACACATCTGTTTTCTGTGTTGCTTGTAACAACCACTATTCTGCTATTAATGTGAAGGCACCGGGTCAGGATGTAGCCCTGTGCGCGATCCGGAGCCTCTCTCTGACTACAGCAACAACACTGATGCTAACGACATGCAGTCCACTAACACCATAAAACAACTGGCTCCCAGCAAAACACAGGCTCCAACAGACTCCACATAAGGGGAACACATAACAACAATAAAGGTTTATGTGTGGAAGCCCATCAGACCAAATGATATTCAGATGACGTCTTGTGAAAACATTGAACATCAGAAAGACTGGAGTCACTGAGAGAGTCATGTTAGCTCGCCAGCTAACGCCGAGCACTTGCTAACGTTATCCTGTGCAATATATAATATGTAACGTTATAGTTTTCCACATTACTTCGCTAGCTAACGCAATCCACATTACTATTCTGTGTACCACCTTTATTATGTTAAAGTGATTTGATTGATTAAGGCCCGGGCCAGGCAGAACGCGTTTTTTGCAGTGAAAGGCACCTGTTTGTAATTGGATTCTATTGGCAGTGAATTCAATTAAATTAAATTTTATTTATATAGTGCCGAAATCACAACAACAGTTATATCTGAGCGTTTTCAGACTAAGGGATGGTTCAGGACTCACCTGAGCCAGCCCTAACTTTAAGCTTTATCAAAGAGGAAAGTCTTAAGCCTACTCTTAAATGTGGAGATGGTGTCTGCCTCCTGAACCCAAACTGGAACCTGGTTCCACAGGAGAGGAGCTTGATAGCTGAACGCTCTGGCTCCTAGTCTACTTTTGGAGACTCTAGGAACCACAAGTAACCCTGCATTCTGGGAGCGCAGTGCTCTGGTGGGGTAGTAAGGTACTATGAGCTCTTTAAGATAAGATGGTGCCTGACTATTAAGAGCTTTGTAGGTAAGAAGAATGATTTTAAATTCTATTCTGGATTTTACTGGAAGCCAATGCAGAGAAGCTAAGACAGGAGAAATATGATCTCTTTTCCTGGTTTCTGTCAGAACACGTGCAGCAGCATTCTGGATCAGCTGAAGAGTCTTAATGGACTTTTTCAAGCAGCCTGATAATAAGGAATTGCAGTAATCCAGCCTGGAAGTAACAAATGCATGGACTAGTTTTTCTGCATCATTTTTAGATTTAGGATGTTCCTGATTTTTGCAATATTACGTAGGTGGAAAAAGGCAGTCCTTGAAATTTGCTTAATGTGAGACTTATACAACATGTCCTGATCAAAGATAACTCCAAGATTCCTCACAGTGGTGCTGGAGGCCAGGGCGATGCCATCCAGGGAAACTATATCTTTAGATAATGCGTCATGGAGGTGCTTAGGCCCCAGAACAATAACTTCAGTTTTATCTGAGTTTAACATTAGAAAATTACAGGTCATCCAGATTTTAACATCCTGAAGGCACATTTGAAGTTTAGCTAACTGATGAGTTTCATCTGGCTTGATCGATAGATATAACTGAGTATCATCTGCATAACATAAAGTTTATGGAGTGTTTTCTAATAATATTGCCTAAAGGAAGCATATATAAAGTGAAGAGGATTGGTCCGAGGACAGATCCTTGAGGAACTCCATGACTAACTTTGGCGTGCATGGAGGACTCATCGTTAACATGTACAAACTGAAATCGATCTGATAAATAGGACTTAAACCAGCTTAGAGCGGTTCCTTTAATGCCAATGAAATGTTCCAGTCTCTGCAATAGGATCTGATGGTCAATGGTATCAAATGCAGCACTAAGATCTAATAAAACCAGTACAGAGACAAGTCCTTTGTCTGATGCAATAAGGAGGTCGTTAGTAATTTTCACCAGTGCTGTCTCTGTGCTATGATGAACTCTAAATCCTGACAGAAAATCCTCAAAAAAACTATTGCTATGTAGAAAGTCACACAGCTGTTTAGCATCTGCTTTCTCCAGGACCTTAGAGAGAAATGGAAGATTAGATATAGGTCCATAGTTGGCTAAAACATCTGGATCAAGGTTGGGCTTTTTCAGAAGAGGTTTAATTATTACTTTAAAGTACTGTGGTACATAGCCTGTTGATAAAGACAGATTGATCATAGATAGTATAGAGGTGCTGACTAAGGGTAAAACCTCTTTAAGCAGCCTAGTCGGGATGGGGTCTAAGAGGCAGGCTGATGGTTTAGATGAAGAAATTATTGAAGTTAGTTGGTAAAGACTGCAATTTTATCAATAAAGAAGCTCATGAAGTCGTAACTACTGAGAGCTATGGGAATACTTGGCTCAATAGAGCTGTGACTCTCTGTTAGCCTGGCTACAGTGCTGAAAAGAAACCTGGGGTTGTTCCTATTTTCCTCTATTAATGACGAGTAGTACGCTGCTCTGGCATTACGGAGGGCCTTCCTATAATATATCTTTTTTTATTTTAAGACTATCTTGCCAAATTAAATGAGAATTTTCCAGTTTGGTGGAACGCCAATTCCTCTCAAGTTTCCACGATATTTGCTTTAATTTGCGAGTTTCAGTATTATACCATGGAGCTAACCGTCTTTGTTTTAGTATTTTCTTTTTTAGAGGGGCTACAGAGTCGAGTGTCATTCGCAGTGAGCCTGCAGCACTATCAACAAGATGATTGATTTGGGAGGGACTGAATTTAGCATAGGAGTCCTCCGTTACTTTGTGACTAGATAATGTATTTAGAGCTGATGAAATCGCATCCTTAAATTTAGCTACAGCACTATCAGACAGACATCTTGTATAGAAATTTTTGCCCAATGGCGTGTAGTTCAACAATACAAATACAATAAAGAGGGATTCTGTGGGAACACCACTAAATGTTTAATTTCAATACCATACACCAAAACAAGGTCGAGGGCGTGGTTAAAACAGTGAGTTGGTTCATGAACACTCTGAGAGAAGCCAATGGAATCTACCAGAGAGATAAACGCAGTACTAAAGCTGTCATTCTCAACGTCCACGTGAATATTAAAATCCCCTACAATAATAACTTTGTCCGTTTTAAGGACTAAAGTTGACAAAAACTCTGCAAATTCAGATAAGAATTCAGAGTACAGACCAGGTGCTTGGTACACTATCTTTAACTATAATGGATTCATTTAGGCTAACATATTCTCCATCACTCAGCCAGGTTTCAGTAAGACAAAATAAATCAATATCATAATCTGATATTAGTTCATTTACTAGTACACCTTTAGAAGAGAGAGATCTGATGTTTAAGAGTCCACATTTAACTCTCCTATTCGTTTGCACTATTGCTCTTGTGGTTTTAATTTTTATGAGGTTTTTATGCACAGCTCCTCTTCTGTTTACCTTTTTAAATAATTTCGATGGTCGGGGGGCAGACACCGTCACTATAGGATTTTCACTAAGTAACTCCTGTAATGGGAGGAGCAGAGAAGTGTGTTAGACTGCGACTCTGCATAGGGTTTTGGGTGGGTAACTGCAGAAAAAGAAGGGCAGAGAAGTGTGTTAAACTGCGACTCTGCCTCCTGGTCTCAACTCTGGGTTGTCATGGATTTGGTCCACTAATAAACTTGGCCAGATTTCTAGAAATGAGAGCTGCTCCTTCCCAAGTGGGATGGATGCCGTCTCTCCGAATCAGACCAGGTCTTCCCCAGAAAGTCTGCCAATGATCAACAAAGCCCACATCGTTTGCTGGACACCACCTCAACAACCAGCAGAGTGTTCTGCATGCTGTTTATGCAGCCTCGCGTTTTGGGCGCCTGTTGCCCCTTGCGTTTTCAAAGGAGCGCTCTGGGTGCACAGAGTTGGAAAAAAAAAATCATCTCTGGGCAGAAAAGCGCCCAACGTCATTCGTGTTTTTTTTCCATTGTCCAATCAAATGAATGGAGAGACAGGCCCTCAGATGTGCTGACGGAAGTTTACAGTTGCTTGGATTGTCCGGAAACTGCAACAAACTGTCCCCGACTCATCCTAAAATAAGCCTTGAACCGACCATCATTCAGATGAAGCACCTGGACCAGCTGGTGGTACTACCAGCAGGGTCTCCTCATTCTGAGGGTCTCATGTACCCACACGGATCTCCGTTTCCCTGTATCCTGTGTGTGTGTACACCGCTCACCCTCAAACAATGCCAGAGCGAGAGCCTTCTGTTTGTCTTTTATTAAAGCAGATGTAGCAACAAAAGAGACAGAACTGTGAGTTGTGATCAAGTTTCACAACTCACAGTTGACAGCAGCAAACCAAAGATTACAGATCGCTGGTGCTATAATCTTTGATTAGACTGACAAGACAGCTGATTCGGTGGTTGCCTTGCAACATAAAAAAACGCAGCGCACTGCTCTTTCCAATTTCAGCGAAAAAAGCATTGCTGTGCGCCTCGCATTTACCACTGTTTGCATCGGAACGTTCAATTTAGTTTCATTGTGGTGTTACCAACACTCAGGCACTCAGCTTCTCCACCGTCCCAGTCACTGTAACTAACGCGACCCACATAATTAACAACAATGCAACATAACTGCACAACACAACAACACAGTAGAAAACT